TATATATATATATATATATATATATATATATATTGTTTAAAAATATGATTCCTTCGCTACATAAGAGTTCTCATGTTTCAAAAACGAGAGCCGAAATCATCCAAATAATTATTAAAATTAACTTGAATTGAGGTATTTAGTCTCGTTTCATCTTCAAGCGAAATTTTAGGAATATAAGCTCTACTTCTGTATGGAGCACTGTCTTCTTAAAAATAAAAACAAAAATACTAAGTAACTCCGGATTATGCACCCAACGTGTTCTTTTCTATTTTCTGCATACCTGCGCACTTATACTTTATATATATATATATATATATATATATATATATATATATATATATATATATATAAATAGGTAGATACAGAGAGAGAGGGTGATAGAGTGAGTGAGAGTGAAATAACGTACAGCGTGAACTGTCTAAACATAAATAGAAACTAACAACACCACCCCCTCAAGATGTCTAAAGAAATGGTCAAAAGCGCTTGGGACAGTGAACATATAGAACATTTTTGCACATTTTTCCTACCACACGGAACAACGTAAGAACGCTGGAAAAAGAAAATATAAATAAATAAAATTTTCCTTGTCTGCCATATTTAAAGAAAGATTTTAAAAGAAAATTTGTTGTCCAAATATAAAATAATATACACATACACTCTCTCACACACACAAATATATATATATATATATATATATATATATATATATATATATATATATATATATATTTGGGCAGCAAGCTTTCATTTAAATAGCTTTCATTAAATACGCATATATATAAGCCCCACCTTGAAAATGGCTAAAGAAGTTGCCGAAAGCGCTTGAGACAATGAAAATTATGAAATATTTCTCTACTCTTTACACCTACAAAATGTAAAAAAAACATTAGGATGTTGGCAAGACTAAATAAGAAGTGAATTTTATATATATATATATATATATATATATATATATATATATATATAGTTAAATTCCCAGATGAATTCTGTGGACAAGACAGATTGGTATGAAATGACAATTGAAAAAAAATCTTACATTTTGCTGACGCGTTTCGTCTTCCGAATTTTTCAAGGCAAAAATGAAATCGAAATGTTTTTGTTGTTATAGTTACATTAAAAATCCAAATTTAAAAAGATAGATGTCTCTGTCTAAGCCTTTTTTTTGGTTAATGTAAATTACCTTTATAGTAAGGGATTAATACATTTTTTTTTTTTGGTCATTTGATAACAATCTGTCTTGTCCACAGAATTTATCTGGGAATTTAAATATATATCGACAGGGAAGAAAAAAAAAATAATCCCTTCAAAAATATACCAATTTATTCTGGACTCTAATTTGTTTGGGTCAGTAGTAAAACTTGGACTCCAAAAATGAATGGGTTTTGCAAAAAGACAATAACACTTAACATACGGCTAAATCTACAAAAAACAATGTCAGTACACTGGAACGGCCATCATAGTCTTCAGACTTGAATTTTCCGCGTTTATTAAAAAATCCAAGTTAATAAAAGAGCTCAAAAAACATCCTGAACGTAAAGAAAATATGCAAAGAATAATGGAGTAAAATACCAACGGAAAATTGCAAATCATTCATTAAAAGCTGTTATACAAATATTGTATATATATATATATATATATATATATATATATATATATATACATATATTATATATATATATATATATATATATATATATATATATGTATCTGTGTCTGTGTGTTTGTGTGCTGGGCAGCATGGTGTCGGATCAGCTTGAAATAGACCATACCCATGTGAGATAATTTTTGTTTTTTGCTGTAAAAAATACGTAGCTTTATTATAATAAACACATTGAGCTCTCTGTGGATCAGTTTTAATATTTGATCTTATGAGGCACCACCTGAATTATATACCAATGGATCTATTAACCGTAATATATATATATATATATATATATATATATATATATATATATATATATATAGATAGATAGAGAGAGAGAGACAGAGAACGTGCAACAACAATAAAGTTAACAAGTATGAAATATTAATGGTATGCTCTCAAAGAATATTTCTTTCTACAATCAACATAAAAAATTACATATATGCATTGGAATGAGAACTCTATCTTTCATGTATATTTATGGTGAAAAAGTTCAATAAAGAAAGCTTTAGTAAATTTAACCGACAAAATTTCCTTGTTTATTTGTCCTCTTATTTTTCCAATTTCGGAACAAATTATTTTAAAAAATCAAATAAGTGAAGGGACGATACAAAACTTAGGCATTTGTTTGCCTATTTTCGGGCATCTTTTGTGATTATCATGAATGTTGATATATATATATATATATATATATATATATATATATATATATATATATATAAACTGAAGGAAGATTTACATCTATTTGGAAACCAGTACTAGAGAAAACATTTTACAAAAATATTCTTTAAAGACACACACGCACAAAACATAAACACAGACATACACACACACAAACATATATATATATATATATATATGTTTATATATATATATATTTATATATATTGTGTATTTAGGCAGCAATCTATCTTTTATACATGTTTCATTAGAGATGACAGACAAGGTACTGCGATTAAGCTCTTTATTAATTTTTCTTGTGTTCTAAAAAGTGTTTTCTTATTTGCACACAGAGTGTGTAGAAATTGTCCAACTGTTCTGTAATTCCGAGGGCTTTCACGTATTCAGCCATTATGAAGATTTATGCTTTTTAACTGCATGTAAGTTTTTTGTGTGTATTTGGGAATATAGGGATGCTTTATTTTTCGAATACAGTCAGCACATTGTGGCTGTGTTCGTAGTTAATATTACTGACTGTTGGCTTTTTCTTTTTATTATTAAGACTTCCATTATTTTTAATCCCCTTTTTACATGTGGATGAGGTTATTATGTTTGTATTTTCTACTGATATGTTTTGGATGGAGTCCGGTAAGTTTTTGTGTGTTTAAATGGGTTCTAATGAAGCTGTGGTCGGATATATGTAACATAAGTGTTCTTTATAGCCATGTAGTAGTGTGAGCAATGTAATTATTTATGAGTTCGCTTTGATCAGGAACACAAGAAAAATTAAATGAAAAGCTTACACGCAGTACCTTGTTTGAAGTCTATAATGAAACACACACACACACACACATATATATATAAATATAAAATTGAACATAGAACTCAACACTTAGAGGCGACAGTCCGTTTCATGCTAGATGCAATCGTCAGACCAAACTAACTTTTACATTTACACACGCTCTATCTCTGACATTGAGCACTTTATCCCATAAATATAGCACATCTTAAGACTATATTTCTTCATATATATATATATATATATATATATATATAACTGCACATATCTCTTTCTCAGTCTATAGCCCTTCAGTTTCGTAGCTCTCTCTCTCCCTGTCGATCTACTTCAGTTTATTTCTTTCTTTCTATTTTCCAGTTTCTATCTATCTACGTATCTATCTAACTATATGCGTATGTGTGTATGTGTGTGTGCGTGTGCGTGTGCGTGTGTGTGTGTTTACATACTTATGTATATGTATGGTTGTAAGTGCTGCCTGGACTAAAGTTATGGTTTTCTTGTACTTGGCAAAAGTCATTTTTTATTGTTAGTAACCACCAAATGTTTATTTGATTTCTTCTTGCTGTCATCCCTTCATAATTCTTTTCTTCTCTTCTTCATTTCTTTCTTTTGTCCTTCATTTCTTTCTTTTTAATTTTGTTCTCTCTTTGGTTCGATGAACTTCTTCATTTTCTTTCTTTGTTTTTAGATTTTTCTCCTTTATTTTCCATGTTCTTTTTTTTTTTAATCTTTTTATTCGAAGATATTGTCCGAATGTTTCATTCTTTATCTTTTTATGAATTCTTTGATACGATTTCTTTGTATCTTTTTTTCGTTTCTGTGTTTGTTTCTTTCATCCATTCTTTCTTTCTTTCGTCTTTCTTTCTTTTGTCTTTCTTTTGTCTTTCTTTCTTTCTCAACTCTTCTCGGCAGTTTCTCCCTTTCCATCTTTTTTTTCATTCTTTCTCTTTTCTCTGTCCTTTGTTTTTACAAGTATTTACATTTTTTCTTTCTTCGTTCTTTCTTTCTTTTTTTTTTTTCTTTATTTCCTTTTTCTAATTAGTTTTCTTTTTTTCCTCAAACATTTTCACTGGTTTTTCTTCCCTTTTTCTTTTACTTCTCACATTTTCCTTATATTGTTTTATTAATGTATATTCACATTGTTTCATTAATTAATTCGTCTTATATTCCCTCTTTCATTTGAACCTTTTTCTTTTTTTAATTCTCTCTTTTTTCTCTTTCCTTTCTTTATAAAATCCATTCTCCGTCATACCTCACCATTATTTAATGTTATTTTGTTCGTTTTCACTTAATTCTCTTTATTTTCATTTTTTTCTTCCTCTATCTTTTTATTACCGGACGTTGTTTTACTTGGTCCATTTCTTGTCTAAAAATTAATGGCGACTCAAGTGCAAATTACACTCAGTAATATTTAAGTGCGACAATTTAATTGAACATCGGCGAAGTGGGACAGACGGCTCTTCTTAATTAGAAAATCTATCTACGCCGAACAGCAGAAAACCGTTCAAGTCATGCTTCATCAAATTATATTTGTCAAAACAATTGAAACCATTTCAACCATTGGAAAGAGACAATTGTATTGCAAAAACATTGGTAGCTCTGTTCTTACTTTCTTTTCGATAGCGACAAAACGATTCTTCAAAATAGAAAAACCAATGATAAGGATGATGATGATGATGATGGTTACTGTCTGAATTGAAGAAATTCTATGTGCATTGACAGTTAAGTTATCATTATTACACGCACGTATATATTTCTGCTTTTGACCATATGAATATACACATACAGAATTAATAGTCTCGACAAAAATACAGCGTTAATATAGAAAGGAAAGAAAAAAGGTAGGAATTCAACGAAAGAAAGAAAGAAAGAAAGAAAGAATGAAAATGTGGGAGAAGATCATCGACACAAAGAAGTAAACAAAGAAAGAAAGAAAATAAAATTGGGAAAGCTATTAAAGAAGGAAATTGATAAAAAGAAAGACTGGAGAAAGAAAGAACAAATGAATAAATTTAAAAGACTGGAAGAAAGAAAGAAAGAAAGAAAGAAAGAGACACTGTGTAAGAAAATCATCCAATCAAAAAAAAACAAAATAAAAAAAAGGAAAGGAAAGGTGGTAAAAAAATAGGCAATGCAAAAGGAAAAAAGAAATAAAGACTACGTGTGAGAGAATAATCGAATTAAAGAAAGAAAATAAGAAAGAAAGTAAAAAATACAGGAACAACGAAAAAAATTAAAAATAGAAGATATTAAAAAAGAAAAAAGAAAGAAAGAGTGATCTATCATTGAATAAAAGAAAGAAAGATAAAGTAAATATGCAAGAGACTAAGAAAGAGAGAAACAAATGAGAAATAATTTTTTGAGAAAATCATCAAATCAAAGAAGAAAAAAAACAGAAAAGAAAATTGGGAAAGCTAATAAAGAGAGAAAGAAGTAAAGTAAGAAAAATAAAGACTGGAGAAAGAAAGAAAACATAAATAAATGAATAAATAAAGAAAGAAATAAAGATAGGAGGACAAAGTGTAGGAAAATCATCCAATTAAAGGAAAAAGAAAAGAATGTAAAAAAAGAATGGGGAATGCAAAAAAAAAAAAAAATAAAGGCAACCTGTGAGAGGATAATCAAATTAAAGAGAAAGAAAGAAAGAAAGATGGTAAAAAAGACAGAAAGAAAGAAAAAAGTAAAAATAGGAGATATTAAGAAAGAAAGAAAACGTTATAGTTCATTGAATTATAGAAGAAAGAAAAAGTAAAATTACAGCACACTAAGAAAGAAAGGAAGAAAGAAATAAAGAAATTGTGAGAAAATCAAAGAAAGAAAGAAAAATAGGAAATGATAATAAAGAAAGTAAGAAAATGTGTTAGTAGATCAACAAATTAAAGAAAGAAAAATGAAAGAAAAAAGTAAACATGGAAAATATTAAATATGAAAGAAAGAATTAAGGTACGAATCAGGAGTCACTCTAAGAGCAAACAAATTTAGTGGTGTCAATCGACTCACGCTTGTCGAGTTCGGTCCTGTTTGCCGGAAGTTTTAATGGAAGTGCGAAGAAAAAGGGCGCTTTTACTTAGAATCGTAAAGAGACAATTGGCATTTCTAAGACACATAAAGAAGAAAGAATGCTTGAAGAATTTCACCACTCACAGGACAACACTGAGTTAAACAGCGAACAACCTGTCTAACGAACTTGTGTAAATAGATGACAAATCAAGAATTGTCGGGTTATAAGGACACAAACATTGCTTAGAGCTAAAAGGTCAACTCCTGAATGAAAATCGTCACAAAAGAAGTTGGAATTTTGAATAGATTAGATAACATTTGAAAGCAAGAGGGGTACACAAGATACAGTTATGTAATTTAAATAAGTATGTCATGCTTTAGATAAGAAAGATGAATCTCAGCTGTTGCATTAGATATCTTGAAAGCATTTTACAGGATTTGGTATCCTGGTATTCGACACAAGCTTAAGGCTTATTTGTCTCTGGCCAAAGTTTTGACTTGAACCAATCCTTCTTAACCCTAGAACACTAACCATCAATTAAAGTTATACCATTACTAACCATAGGTATATCATACCCGATTTTGAAAATATAAAAAAAAATAATAATTAAATATAAATCTTTATTTGAAATATTTTATATGTAGGCAATTCAAACTTTGCGTTAACAATAATAAGAACTGAAAAACATTATTTAGGTAAGAATATCAGGTACTGAAAATTGTAATAAAAAATAGGCAAATTTGCGTTGGGTACTGTATACCCATAGTAGGTATTTTAGGGTTAACCAATCGTGTCATGAAAGTCACATTGATCGGCCACCCCTATAGATCCTTACATATTCTGGTATCCCTCAGTGCACTCTCCTTAAACATATTCTATTCATCAACTAACTTTCCAATCCTATTAGTTAATAACTCGATATTTGAGTTGATTCTACAACTATTTACACCAGTCTTAATAGTAAGCCCAATTGGTCTGATGAAGTGAAACTGACAGCTGATCTTGAAAATGGTCGTCAATCTGTTGCTAGCTGGAGCATGGAATAGCTTGTAAACTTTAACGCTTCTAAATGTAAATGATATGTTAGAAAACCATGTTTGCCTTCTGTCACCAGGGCTAATAGAAACCTCTGTGAAAGCAACTCATTGATCCTTGTCAGTCTTACGCTTTACATGATCATGAAGTGGAAAGATTCTATTGAAACGGTAGCTTGGGCTGGTGCTAGAAAATTTCTTGTTCACTGCATCGTGCTAGACAATTCTTTCTCGGCAGAATCCCTCTTGCACATTTTTGAATACATCATTCGTCGATGCATTGAATATTACTGGAGCTTCTGCTATATATCTCAAGACACTTGATAAAAACAAAGGAATGGTCTGTAATATCCGTCCTGACCTGGCATCACGACATCAATCACTTCCCGATCACTGTGATGTGGATTCCCTGTGTCTTTTCTATAAATATTTTTTATGCTAATTTTTCTTATGAGATTTTCTCCTTGGTACAGCGACCGCATAGATTTAGACGTAGTACTGGCCTGGCAACAAGGTCTGATCTTATTACTGTTGAAAACGTTAGAATAAACCGCAAACACTATCCGAAAGAGGCAACATAAAAATGGTAACGAACAGAAAAAGGGAACACGGAAATGGTAACGAACAGAAAAATGGTTTGGTTCGGTTTGGTTTGTTTTATTTTGTTTTACGGCATATCAACCTCAATGGGTTACTTAATGCCGACAACATTTTTAGGACAGATTTGTATGAATAGAATATTTATTCTTTGGTTTAGATTGGTTTGTTTTATTTTGTTTTACGGCATATCAACCTCAATGGGTTATTTAATGCCGACAACATTTTTAGGATAGATTCATATGAATAGAATATGTATTCTTTGGTTTAGATTGGTTTGGCTTATTTTGTTTTACGGCATATCAACCTCAATGGGTTAATTAATGCCGACAACATTTTGAGTATAGATTCCTATGAATAGAATATGTATTCTTTGGTTTAGATTGGTTTGGCTTATTTTGTTTTACGGCATACCAACCTCAATGGGTTATTTAATGCCGACAACATTTTTAGGATAGATTCCTATGAATAGAATATGTATTCTTTGGTTTAGATTGGTTTGTTTTATTTTGTTTTACGGCATATCAACCTCAGTAGGTTATTTAATGCCGACAACATTTTTAGGATATATTCCTATGGATAGAATATGTATTCTTTGGTTTAGATTGGTTTGTTTTATTTTTGTTTTACGGCATATCAACCTCAATGGGTTATTTAATGCCGACAACATTTTTAGACATAAAAATTTTATTCTTTGGTTTAGATTGGTTTGGTTTATTTTGTTTTTACGGCATATCAACCTATTTTGGTTTTTAATGCTGACAAAAAAATTTTATTGTAATTTTTGTTTTGTCAAAATCTGTTTCTGGTAATATATTTCAACATTGTATTACTGGTAATAATTTTTTTCAAAATGTATTGCTTCTAATAGTTAACTATTTTCCCATAGCTGGGACCCTAATATGTGCTATCACCCCTGGTTAGGGTGGACCTGGGAACACCGGCAATTAAGAGGTGGCTCCACGCTCCTCAAAACCTCCTGATCAGAGTCCTTGCTGCTGGACGTAGTTTAACCTGTTACCCAGGACGCGGATGTAGTTTAACGTCTTACCCAGGACGACAGAAAAATGGAACATAAAAATAGCAACGAACAGAAAAAAATTGAGCAGAGAAATAGACGCAAAAATGGTAACGAACAGAAAAAAAAGAACACAGAAATGGTAACGAACAGAAAAATGGAATACAAACATGGCAACGAACGTAAAAATGGATCACAGAAATGGTAACAAACATAAAAATGGAATGGAAAAATGGAACATAAAAATTGCAATGAACAGAAAAAATTCAACACAAAAATGGACGCAAAAATGGCAACGAACAGAAAAATGGAACACAGAATAATAGTAACGAACAGAAAAATGGAACACAGAATAATGGCAACAAACATAAAAATACCGAATAATGAAACATAAAAATATAAAAAGAAATAAACAGAATGAAGGATAAAAAGATAAACAAATAAATTGATATGAATAAAAATGGAATAAATAGATATGATAAAAAAAGAAAGACAAAATAAAGAGGTAATAAGGAAATTAAAAAAAGACATAGAAAGCAAGGGGATAATGTCACTAAGACAACAGGTGGGGTCTACTTGGAGTGAAAGAGAAGTAGAAGATATTAAAAGGAATCGCGAGCCCAATGCTAAAGTGTAAACAAAATGAAAATGTAGGAATAAATCTCTATTCCTGATCAAAAGACTGGGACGAGTGTGAATTGAACGATGACAGCGGAAATAAATAAATATGTAAAGAAATATGACACGAAAAAGAAAAAAAGGGAATGAAAATGTTTTATGAAAAAGGAAAAAATTGAATCAAGAAAAATACATAAAAAGAAAGAAAAGACAAAGAGAAAGAAAAATATAATACGAAACATACATAAAATTAAAGAAAAAGAGAAAAAAAACGAAAGAAAAAGAGATAAAAACGAAAGAATAATACATAAAAAGAAAGAAAAAGACATAAAAAGAATGAAAAAGACATAAAAAGAAAGAAAATAACGTAAAAAGATTTAAAAAGACATAAAAAGAAAGAAAAAGACATAAAAAGAAAGAATGGACATAAAAAAAATTAAAATATATAAAAAGAAAGAAAAAATAAACAAATAAAGAAAATGACATAAAAAGAAAAAAATAAAAAGAAAAGAAAAAGCATAAAGAAAAAAAAAGAATGGACATAAAAAAAATTAAAATAAGAAAAAAATCAAATAAAAATGAAAAAAAGCACAAAAAGAAAGAGAATGACAAAAAAATAAAGATATAAAAAGAAAGAACAAAACATAAAAAAGAAAAAGAAAGAAAAAGGCAATAAGAAAAAAACACATAAAATTAAAGAAAAAAGAGATAAAAAAGAAAGAGAGATAAAAGAAAGAAAAGGGCATAAAATGAAAGAAAAATACATAAAAAGAAAGAAAAAGACCAAAAGGAAAAACAGCATGTTCAAGATATAAATAAAGAAGAAGAGATAAAAGGAATGAAAAGGGAATGCATGCCAGTATAAAATAGAAATGGAATATATAAAATTAAAGAGGAAAGCAAAAAAGATGAGGAAGAAATAGAAAAACCAAAAAAGTCTAAAATGAAAAGTGTGTGTGTGTGGGGGGGTCATATAAAATTGTATCATCTAAATTATTTAAATTATTCATTTTTTGGCGATAACAGTTGGGGCTAATAGATTTTTTTGCAGAATTTTATAATTAATAAAATAATGTTAGTATTATTTCTTTTCTAAATGTGATATTTTAATTATATTGTATAATTTTATTATATATTTTTTTAAAACCTAAGCACCTATAATTAATACCGGATGTGTTTCTTGTATAAATAAATAATTAACATCGTAATTTTTAATATAAATAAATAATATATTTCCGTTATATTTTATACTTTTATAATGTTTGTAAATATATTTAGCGGCAGTTTATTTGGTTCAGACTTTCTGAGGTTGAACTTTAAGGTCAGATGGTAGACAAAATAGAGATGTCGATTTTGATTGGTTGAGCCGAACGTGGGAATGGTAGAAAGAAAGTGATTTGAGGGAGTTATAAACTTACACGTTGATGAATGTAGACGTTCTATTTTCTTGTATGGAAACTGCTCCCTAATGGGAATGATAGGACGACACTACTGGTTATTCAGAAGATTTACACCTCAAGCTGTTTAATAATATAAATAAGTTTAAAATCCCTTTTGCTGAAATTCTCATTTTACTTCCGAAAAACCTAATAGAGTGATCAGAACAGAGATGGTATTTTCGAATTCAATGTATATATATATATATATATATATATATATATATATATATATATATAATATAAATATACTGGTACGTTTTCATCAACGCTGCCTTCGGTCTCATATATATATATATATATATATATATATATATATTTTTTTTTTTTTAAAAATATGATTCCTTCGCTACTTCCGAACTAAAAAAAAAACAACTAGGGATCAACCGGCCGAGAGAAGAAAGGAGACAACGTTATGGAATCAACCTCGTTAACTAATAGACCCCCAGAACGAGGGGGTTATATAACCTTATTTGGTGCAGTGTTTAAGACCTCTCCAGACCTCAGAAGAGAGGGAGTATACGAGAATTTTTAGAAACCTATATGAATTAGCTTTCCCGGAATGCTTAATGTGATATTTAAACAGTATTTTTCTTCGCATTGTTTTTAGTTTCAACTTAAAATTTAATAGATCTTGCGTGGGGAAAATAGTTTAATCAAGTTAGCGATTGTTAATTGTTACGTTTCTCTTTGAGTTGGACGGCTGACCAAATGATGTCCGATTGATAAAGTGGTCAGTGTCAGTTCAGGCGATGGATACCGAAAATATCCAAGCATTTCGTGGTTGGTCTCAATCACTCGGATGGACCTAGTCCAAATTAGCTTGGCAGGTACGCGATGAAAGCCATAGACACAGTATAAATAAAGACGTAATGTGTGTCACGAGCTTTGTGTAAATGGTGAGAAAATGGTTAGAATAAAGACGAAAACGAGGTTGCAGTGGTTATAATCAAACATTGCCTGACATTGACTGATTTCCATTTATTTACTAATTGGCTTTTGATTTAGTTTTTGTCATTTTCTCAAAGTTATTCATTTGCTTTCGATAGTTCAGACAAAGTATAATGCTGAAAACCTAAATAGAGTGATCAGAACAGAAAGGTATTTTCAATTCAGTGTATATATATATATATATATATATATATATATATATATATATATATATATATATATATATATATATATATATGAAGATTTTCAACAACGCTGCCTTCGGTCTCATATATATATATATATATATATATATATATATATATATATATATATAAAAATTTTTTTGTTTAAAAAATATGATTCCTTCGCTACATAAGAGTTCTCACGTTTCAAAAACGAGAGCCGAAATCATCCAAGTAATTATTAAAATTAAGTTGAATTGAGGTGTTTAGTCTCGTTTCATCTTCAAGCGAAATTTTAGGAATAAGCTATCTTTTGGTTTACGTGTGTTTTTAGGCATGGTCTGTCATAACATTCGTTATTGTGGGAGTGGCCAGGCTCGTTTTCTTCGTTAAGTGGTCAGAGAGTTAATTCTTATCTATAGACAAGACAATTATTATAATAAAGCTCTACTTCTGTATAGAACACTGTCTTCTTAAAAATAAAAACAAAAATACTAAGGAACTCCGGATTATGTACCCGACGTGTTCTTTGCTATTTTCTGCATACCTGCGCACTTATATATATATATATATATATATATATGGGGGAGTTCAAGCACAGACCAAAGGCAGCGTTGATGAAAACGTACGAGTATCTTCAGATGTCTGCAATAGACTACCCATGTCTCACATGAATATAGCACAGAGATGACATAACGCAGGCAATATATATTTTAATTTTTGTCTGCTTTTTTATGGTCTTCTAGCTCCAGACACGGAACTTGAGTGTTGCAAATGCATCGGAGGTCTTCTTAATCTGTCATGCGGTCTAATCGTCAAGAGAGCAGTGGCAGTTGAGGGTGCTACGAAGGTATACAAATTTGTCAACTATTTCAAGTCGACTACCATCAACATAAATTGATGGCTCTATATACTGAATTCCTCAGGCAAGGTGACACATCACCACTGTCTTGTCAAAGCTGATGGACGGTCCAAAGCCTTAAATGATCTTGATAGTCAATCCATGAACTCCTGTTCGTGATGAATTGTGTGTGTGATCAGATCACCATCATCAGCATAGAGAAGGTTGCACACTAAATTAAAAAAGACTTGTCCTTGCCGCAAACCGACGTATGTTGAAAAGCATGCTAGTTGGCATATGCCTTATCATAATACCATCATGTCAGTCCCTGAACGCATCAAGCACTACAAAGTAGACAGAAAACAAGTGACTCCATTTTCAAACTTGATGGGCTCCGTAAACACAACACCAAAACGGACACAGGGTTCCATGCCATCATGGAAGGACCTCAGAATCTTGAAAATGTGGGGAGAACATCCCAATCCCTCAGATCTATAAATATTTGCTAAAAATCCATTTGTTGTTTACAGATCTTTTCCTGGATTTGCCTTGCTGCGAAAATCATATCTGTGGTCCCTCTATGTTGAGGGGAATCACACGGTGACTCAGGCAGTATGCTGTCAACTCGGAGAACATAGGCTAAGATCTTACCTACCGAAAAAAAGGAGATCAATCCCTCTATAATTACCGCGTAATTCCCGGGTACCTTTACCTTTATATATAGGAAACATCATTGAATCCCTCCAATCTTTGGCACTCTCAAAAACCTTTACAATAAGATCATGCATAAGTTGACTTAAATGTGTTCCGCCGTAACGGAATATCTCATCAGGAAGCTCATCAACCCCAACAGTCCTGCCACGCAAAACCTACCACTACAGGTTTTGGGGTATTTTCTCGAGTACCTCAGGATCCAGACTTGAAGGCCTGTTCAGTAGCTCATCAAAGCGTTTCATGCCATCCATGGCTGTGAGGAAATCATTGCCATCTTCTGTCCCGAGAAGAGCGATCTTCGTGGATCTGGGGTCAAATACCTGTTTCATCAAGCAGTAAATTAAATCTCCCAATCAGGCTCTCTGTCTCTCTCTCGATATATATATATATATATGTGTGTGTGTGTGTGTGAAGTAATTATAGTTTATATATGTATATAGATAGTTAATATGTATATATGTGAAATAATTATAGTTAATATATATATATAGAGAGATATATAGATATGGATTGATAGTTAATGTGCATACACATGTGAAGTAATTGCAGGAGGCACGGTGGAGGAATCGGAGACCCGAGTTCGAATTGCAGTCGTATCCGTTACACTTACATGCTAATACCCTTGGGAAATGTAGGAATCGTCTTCTCCCCTCATCTATGGGTAAAATAGCGGGACAGACCGGGTTCTATAGCCTTGGATGGCAACTGGTCTACCTCAGACAAAAATGGCAGCCTAATGCGGGAAGAAATCTGCCTCGTCAGTCATGTATCGAAATATACATGATGGCCTAAGCGTGTATCACACAT